CGGGGACGCTGATTGGGCGGTGCGCGCGCGGCACCGCCCAGCCCCGCCCCCGGCGGCCGTTAGGCGGGAACGGGGGGCGGGCGTTTCCCGAGGCAACGAGAGCGGTGTGGAGAAGGAGGTGTTGGCGTCGGTGTGTTTTGTCTTAGGTTTTTGCTTCAGGCCGGCCAGGCTTGGATTCCTCTACCAGCTCGGCGTCTTCCAGGGAAAGGGCCGCTGACCCCCGTCCTACCTAAGAATGAAAAAAAAAAAAAAAACCCAAACCAAGACAAAAAAAACTTAATTCGGATTAACTCATGTGACGTTGTTTCTATCCCGGCTTTGTTTTCTGTCCCGTTTTTGCCATTCGAATCAGTGAGGTGAGGCTGAGAAACAATCTTTAGGGTTGGAAGGAACCTCTGGAGATGGTCCAGAGCCAAGGCAGGACTCACTCCGGTTGGGGTTTGAATGTCCAGAGAGGGAGACTCCACGACCTCCCTGGGCAGCCTGTCACAGTGCTCTGCCACCCTCAGTGTAAAGAAGTTCTTTCTCATGTTGAGGTGGAACTCCTGTTCTAGTTTATGTACAGAACATGGAAAGTTTCATTTCCGTGCTGAAGCGTATGTGTCACTTTTTTTTTTTTTTCAGCAGAGGACGTGAGCAGGTGCCTTCCAAACACGTTTTCATGATGCATTTCTACAGTTGTGTTCCTGGTATGGAGAGTGCCAAAATCCATGGCAGTGAAAATCCACGGTTGTTGTAATCAGGAATTCATACTGTTTCAAATACTTTCAAAACAAAGCCAAACAACAACAAAAGCAAAACCACCACAGACACCAACCACACACACACAAAACCAAAGAAAACTACCAAAGCCGTCTCATGGTTCCTACAACACCCAAAAACTTCTAATCCTAGCAGTTCAAACTTAGATGTGCTCCAAGAGTAGAAGCACTAGAAGGGCTGTTGTGGGTATTCTTTCAGAAGAAGAAAAAGGAGCAAAGTCTTAAAAAGTGCTGGATAAATTTAAAATATTTTGAGTACCTTGCTGTAACTATCCCTTTCAAAGCCCTTCTATAATCTTCCCTCCTAGAGTTCTGCTGCCTATGTCCAAGGGTCCAGATCCTGCACAGAAGTACAGTTCACATGCTAGAGTCAGGGCAATAGAGGGAAGCACGAGTTTGAGGAAACAGAGGTGGAAAGTCAGGGATGTGAAGGGTCCTGGTTTGGAGAGAGGTCAATACAAAATAGCAGGCAGAGGGCATCAGCCACAAAACCAGCCTGATTTCATTTGCTGAGGCTAAAGTACTTGACCCCTGTGTTCCAACATGACTGGTTTGCACTGAAACTTACAGCATGTTTCCATTAGTAAGAAGTCTGACTGGAATTAGGATATTGAATGTTCATCACATGCTCATCACAGAGGAAAATAATGTGACCATGCTGAATAAACTATTAAGAATACACTACTAGAAAGCTGCAAAAAACTGTCATTACTGTAACTGGTTTATCTGCGAATATCTTCTGTTGCTTGCATACTCAGAAACAGTTTGTTCTGGTTTAGGAATGTATCTCAGTGTAATAGTTTTGTAGGGTTTTGTTTGTTTTTTTAAAATTATTCATTCTCTGAGGAATAGTTACTTTCTACCTGCTATTTAAGCATTATCTTTTAATCATGTAACATTTTTGTTTACCATACAAAGTTGGCATGGTTTAGTGTTTTTCTGGCAAAGGTATAAAATTTTTTTCTTCCACACTACTGTTCCTGTTGGCTAGAAAGTACCAGAAACCTTCCTCCACACAAGTTCAGCAAGTGCATTCCAACACCAGCATACCTCATGGGGTTTTAAATTAAAACTTCATTCCTCAAAAAGAAATAAAGAAACAAATGTGGTGGATCTGAGCAAACAAAGTTTTCACAACACAAGTAAAACACACAGGAACTCGTCACTTTTGGAAAAATACAAGTTGCCCTCTCCCTTACCTCATGGTAATGGTCTAGGAAACCACTAGGAAACAGGGTAAGTCCATTTTGAAGCACATTGAAATATACTATTCACTTCAGGTTTCTGCTGCACAAAGCACTCCTTTTTCCTTCCTCCCCCCAGGATCTGCGCAACAAACTCAGCAATCCCATCGTGCACAGTAATGCTACTCCTGGGAAATTCCATCCACTCTTTGTCCAGCATTATCTTCCTGCCTGTCTTGCGCCAGTCTGAGTCAGTGCCAACACACTGATCCACAGCAGAGATGTTCCTGCACTGACACATCAGAAAAGACATTTGACATCCTTCGAGCCAGCACTCTTTCTTCAGAATGTCATAATTTAATCCAATCACTGGAAAAGAATTGAGAGATGATGTGAAACCCATCAGCTCTAGCAGTCTCCACAGACCTTCAGCACACCCATGGGAAAAGTCAAAGCACACCCTGTGGCACAGACCGGGAATATGTAGCTGCACATCAAGAATAGGAGAGTGGACACCTGAATCAAAAAAAACACACCTTCAGCAGGAACCTATTTAAAAAGAAAAAAGCTTATTACAAAGGATAAGCATACAAATACAGACCTTTCAGAACAAGTTTATTAGTCAACCACAATTATAAAATTTAAATATTTATACAGCAAGATGGAAAAATCTCAAGTAATCAAACACTTCAAATTATTTTGCTGCAGTATACACAGGAATGGTTTTGTTTCTTTAACAAGCTGATCCAACATCATTCTTCACTCACAAGTGTCTTGAAGGCATGTCTAATTTTGAGGTTTCACATGTAAATGCAGTATACAAAAAGAAAAAAAATAAAGACCATACTAACTGATTTCAAAAAAGACTAAAAAAAAAAAAAAAAGGACAGCACATTGAAATCACCAACTCCATAAATAACTCATGGCTAATACTCTTTATATATGTTGCCAAAATTCAAAGGGTACAAATTAAAATGGTCTTTGATACACAAATAACATGTTCTAAGTGTTTTTTGTTTTGAAAAACATGCATAAAGTTCCCACATTTTTAAAAAAGTCTTCTGTACCAGAGAAGGAATACAAAAGCGGTGAGAAATGGAAGCATTCACAAACACCAGAGTAAGGCCCTTCAAAATTTATTTAAAGTAACATACTAAACCCCTTCATTCTCAGGTAAAAGATTAAGAGGCCGAGATACACATCGTCTGCGAGGGTGAGGATACTGGAGGTTGGCAGTGTCAGCATCACAAGACTGCTCTATCAGAGGAGGAGGAGGAAGGAGCTGGGCATGGCTGGACCATCTCGATCCAGCCCGTGGGGAATCCAGAGGGGGAAAGAAATACCTGAAACAATTAAGAAAGGAACAAAACACCAAAACAAAAAACCAAACAAAACAAAACAACAAAAAAAAAACAACAAAACAAGAAAAGAAGAGAAAGGTAGTAAATACAAGGAGAACCAAAGGGGAGAAAAGACATGCTGGAAAATAAAAAAGGCTTTAGTATATCCATGCCAAAACCAATAGAACATAATAGCAGAAATCAAGGCTTGTAATTCAAAACAAGACAAATCTGGAAACTCTTCTTTAAAGCAAAATAATAGTCTTTTCCACTGAAACTCACTGCAAATAATACCACAGCCATAGTCCTAGTGTACATTTTTACAAAAGAATGGATTGCTTTGGAAGTCAAAGGGGCAGTGAATTACACTATTAACAGGCTTTCATTCTCCCAGCATTTCTGTGATTTGTTAACAGCTTTCATTAATGCTTTGTTTGTGACACAAAATATACATTAAATATTATCCAAGTACATTTGCTGCATACGCATCTAATTCAGATTAACTTCACAGCATTTCTAGAATAGACGTAAAAACATAACTGTTTTTACATTAATGATATCCATTTACAGAGAATAACTACTTTGAATGAAATACAGTCTTTGCATCTATTTACATGTTTCTGCAAAATCCTCAGTGTAAATTCAAGATTCCTGGTGAACGCACAATTCAGAATTATGCTACTCCATGTCATTCTGCTGCTGTTTTTATTAGAACTTACCCGTAACACTTGTGCATTTTAGTATATTATGTTTTCTGTCTTGTTTACAATTCTGTGGACTTACATCAAAGAACAGCTATCAGTTTATTAATGAAATTATGGGACAATTAACAACAAACTGCATTTTGGTTTATATCGGTATGGCTAATGTGTTTGCATTTTTCAAGGATACTATGTTTAGAGAATTTAAGTACTCTATGTAATTGTAATTATTACCATAGGAATGTACAAATATGTAACAGAAAAAGTACTTCTTTTAGGATGAAAGAAGTATGACAGTACTTACAAAACATTTATTTGAAGTCATACTAAAGAATATAAATAAAGCAATACCAAACTACTAAAAGCCATCATCTGTACAATTGTCAAAACAGTTTTCTTATTCCTTTAGAACTAACAGTTGCATATATTACAAAGCAGTTACAACCTTGTAATGTTTAGGAATCTTAATCAAATGCTGAACACTCTGAAACGCAAAACAAATTGGTTCTCAAAACAATTTTAATGAAAGTTATCGCAATGGTAGTTTCCCTCCTCCCATCCCAATCAAGGACAAAAATTATTGTTTTTAATCATGAACTATCTTTTAATTTGACAAGCTTTCAAAAATACGTTCTGAGGGAAGTTTTGGGGTTTGAGTGGGTGCTTTATATTTTTTTCCAAACAAGATGCCTCTCCAAATATTTTTCTATCGGGCGTTCCATCAGTATCACACTGTGCAGGCTAGTACAAAAAACGCACACAACGTGTTTTAAAAAGGCTTTTTGAACAGCATTTAGTAGTTAGCAGGCTGCTGGTGTCTTGGGAGAGATCAAACGGCGCTGGGGAAGGGAAAAAGGAGTTCGTTTTCCATTCCTGTGTGCATGCAACAAGCAGCAAAACACCAAAGTTACTCCAGTTAGCTTGGTATCAGCTCTGCTTTCTGTTAAAAAGGACATAATACAAATGGAGAATGGAAATTGTATCATAAATCTAGACACACAATTACATCAACATAATAATATAGCCCTACTGGTTTATTTCCTAACAATCTACATCACATGTTCTGAAATTTATTTTGAGTACAAATCCAGTTTGGCCATTGTGCTTTTATAATCTTTTCCAGATCTGCCAGTGCTATAGCTGTTTTAAGTGTTTAAACTATAGACATGAAACACAGCACATACAGTCAGAGGCAAAATAAGTTATGTGTAGGATACCTATTCAGTCAAATGTCAATGCATAAATCTTTATCAGCACATTAACACTAACACAGAAGTTAGTGACTACACTTATGCAATTCAGGCCAATATCTTTACAAAAGAAAGCATGTAGTAAAGTGTGTATCTTTTATTCTAAGGATCAATCCTAGGAAAAGATACAGTATGTCTGGAAATTCCACAGCCACTGACTTAATTCTGGAAATAACATTGTGTTACAAATCGGAGGGAATAAAATTTATTAAAAACCAAAACAAAACACCTTCCAAAATACAGAGCAATGGAAAGGAATAGAAATCACAATGCCTTAGCACCAAGTTCAGGCACAGGAGAAGGGCCACCAGTGGGGTGAGGACAGTTAATCTTGGTGGCAGCATAGTCTTAGATAAGGAGATTATGAAACCACACCCTATGCTAAAAGAGCTGTAAAACAGCCTGCATTTCTCCACAGGAGCCCAAGCAAATACACCTACACAGCTCTGGATATACCATTTCCAAGGCAGGGCTGCATTTCATCTGCTACACTGCAAGTAGAACCTGGAACCATGACCAACATCATTCTGCTGCCCTTTCTTGTAGGGACTGGGCCCATTAACACCTCTTGCACTCCCTGAAAATGTGAAACCCATTCTCTGTTCAGCAGGCTTAGGGATCTGGAACTGCCATTCAGGATTGGCTGCTGAAAGGGAGAGGGGACAGACTGGTGCTACTCTCCAAATGCAAACTTTACTGATAAGCATTCCAAACCAAAAAAGCCCCCCAGGACTAGCTGCAAATGAATGGAAAGGGATACCATCCCAAGGTATTTGAAACAAAGATGGCCACAAAACTTGGAAACTATAAACTGCTGCTATAGAATCTGACCACATCTCATCCTTATATAGGACTTACAATTCTGTAAAGCTGATTGTACGCACTGTACCACACAGATGCAAGACTCAGCATATTTCTACATTTCAGTGTGCACAAATGAAAATGTTTTTTCAGAAGAGGCAATAAGATTTACCCACTAAACAGCAACTATTACAGAATAAAAACCTAACTGAGATTAAGGCAAATGATCTGCAATAGGAATGCCATATGAGGAAAATTTTAAAAACCACAAAACTTCTATTCAATTGGTGCTACACACCTGCAAAAACCAAGTAAACTAACACTAATATTTGATTGTTAAACCATATGTTATGAAGTAGGTTTTCTTCCTTCCCTTCTGTTACATTATCCCAGAGAAAAACAGAATTTGTTGCTGGTGTTTTTGCTTCACTTTTATACGTGTATCTAAAACAGAAGAGCAGTTACACACCAGTAGGATGAAGCTTCCCCTTTGAAACTATTTCAGAAATGTTTTTATTAATATGAAAGGACTAAAAATGAAAATAGTTATTTACATTGCTTATTTATATAGACTGATTCAGTATGACTTACTGTTTTGTTCATTTTCCTCTTAACACTGGCATAATGGACAAACCACAGAGCAAAACCAGAAGAGCTTATAGAAGTATTCATGCAATAAATGACATTGCACTTTAAAACCATGTAAAACAAATATGAGAGTTAAATGAAATTAAGAAGATTCAGAAAAAAGACTATATACTGAAAATCAGTCTCTCTACTAATTAACATACCTGCTGGCAGAAGATCCATTTAGTGAATTCTGCAGACTTGTATTGGCTGAACCTAGAGAGGCATTAAAAATTCCCTGCTGAGAACTACCATTCACTGGACTCCCATTACCTTTCAGAATACCAGTACACTTCCAGTTGTCCATGTAATTAGCTGCAAACAGATATATAGAAACTGTTAGTTTCTCTCCTGAAACTCAGCTTTCCCTACAAACATTTCAACTGCCCCACACCTGGTGTGAATCAGAACTGAACTTTAATACCAGTATACAAATGCTAAACAGCTGAGGATCTGGCCCTTTAGCTGCCTGATATTCTCCACCTGTCCATGATTTAAAACTCAGTTTCCACTATTACAATACTGAGGAACAAATGAGAATGTGCAAGGTAACTGCCAGTGAGTTTTTGTTGTTGTTATGGGGATTTGGTGGTTTTGGTGTTTTGTTGGTTGGTTGGTTAATTCATGGAGGGGAGTGCATGCATTGTTTGTTTTCTTTAACAATGTAAAGAGAAAAATGCCATTTGCCTGGGCATTGTGACTGAATGTAGATTTTCTAGGTTTAGCAGCAGGAAAAGATCTATCTCATTTTTTAAATGACAATTTCACATAGCTCTAAACTGGCAAAACAATTTCAGGGTGGAGTAACAACTATTCACAGCATGTAAGTACTCCAAGCACAGAAAGTTATTTCTAAATTCTTTTTTTCTTAAGCAGAAACTGAAATATAGAAAAAATATCTATCACACACACATTCCAAAATTATTCTTTGAGTAAAATTTCTCAAGTACATTCATCAGACTACGAAGTTAATGTGTTTCAGGTGGGTGACCTTACCCTTCCAGAGCCTAACACAGCCATCATCACCAGAGGAGGCAAGCACCGTGCCTGTAATATTCCAGCTCACTCGCCACACCTGAGAGTTGTGATTATCAAACTGTGCCACAATATGAATTTCAAATTTTGTTAATCCTCCTGATGAAGTCAATTCTTTCCTGTTTAAGAGAAAAACAACAGTTCTGCACACAACTGTTCAAAGGTCTGGGCATGAACATGATGTCAGAGAGAACTACATCTTTCTAATAACAACTGTTGTTAATTAGGTATTCAGACAAAATTATAACTTGCTCACAATCTTGTCACCTTAAAAATCAGGCTGCTAAAAGCAATCCTGTAGACATTACTTTTGCTCTGCAGAGACTATTTGAACAAGATTGTAGAATATGCATCACATCTAAAACATCACTAAACCATCTTCCTCCTAAGCTCACCTCAGAGGTTTTAGTGTGAAAATTCGTACGTCTTTGGTTGCTACAGCCAAGATGTGGAAGGATCTTCCCAGATTTGGAGCAAATGCAATATCATGTACAGGATCCGTGACTGTCATCAGAGCTTCTGCTTTTGCATATTTCCTGTACAGTGTAAGAAATTAACCTTTAATGCCATGAAAACTGCCAGTAATGCAAATTACATAAACCAGATACAGTGGAAATGGAAAAAAGGGTTAACTATACGTGATAAGACTTGCAAAAATAAAAGTACTTTTAAAACAAATTTAGGCAATAATTTCAAGCACATTTCTTCAGAAATTGAATTTATCAGATACAGTAGCCACTAAGTACAATATGCTACAGTTTTGTAAGTCATAAAACAAAGCAAGAATTTCAGTAGAAAGAACATTTTGGTGTACAAGTGGAACAAGGAAATAAAAAGAAATATTCCACTCACAAATCTAAAGCGAATTTGCATCTCAGTAACTTACTAAATTTTCCATGCTTTTAAGTAGACCACTGTCTACCTCCTCTACTGTATGATAAACATATATTCCATTTTCTTAGTAAGTTACGGTAACTTTATTGTTAACGTGTTAATGCATGGAGAGCATTGCCTGAATCTGGGCATAAAATCCACAGAACAATCTGTCTCCTTTCCCACATCAATCACTCCCAATCAAACACAATTTCTCTGTTATCATTTCATTGGAAGTGGCGGTGCACAAACTTACTAGCCTTTTCTGGTTCTGTGAATTCCACTGTACAACCTGAACTTTGACAGACCATGAGAAATTCACGGTGCTGTCATTATAATCATGCCTTTAAAATCATTGTAAGACGGCTTTGAACAAAACGGTGCCTGGTGCAACACAATTCAAATTTCAACTGTTTAATCCTTGTGCAAAATTAAACATACAATTTAGTAGACACAGGAACAACGACCCTTACTTTAAAATGCTGGTAAGAACACTGACATTTTTGCACTGACAGAATAAAATTATCACTATTGTTTCTATTAACATCAGTTACCATTCTGAGATCTTCTTTTCCCACCCAATGGATCAGAGACAAAATTAAGGTATTATTATTTATTACTCCACATCTAATGATAGGAATAGAAGGCTATACATTATAAACAACTCCATGATCCCACAAACATTTTATATTGTTATTTAGCATACCTGGTATTTTCGTTATACTCATAAATTTGAACCTTAGCCAGTATATTTGGACTGTTGTCATCACTTCCTACAGCTATCATTGGAGAATGTGCTCGAGAGCTAAAAGGTGAAAACAATTACTGTTATATTTACATATTTTATATATATATATATTTCCCATACAAAGTACACCAAGCCATTTGTTAAATTTCAAACATATTGTCTGTAGAGAAAACAAAACAACATCACAAAATATCACAAGGAAAAAATTGCAAAGAAAGAGGACTTAAATGCTATTCACAGTTACCACTATCTTTACGGTCTTGTTTCGGAAGCCCACTTTATACACTCACTAAGGTGGAATCATTAGACAAGATTATGTTCTCAGAAAGAATTTACTTTCTACAATAGACTGCATCTGCAGCCCAGTATTTGCCAAAAGTTTCATGGCAGAGTCAGTATTCTTTGCAGTGATTTTAATGACTGATTTAGTGATATTTCATTCAGGTTTTGGAAGATAAATCACGTAAGCTAAATGTAAATGAATTCTAGTTTTAAAATCAACTTTGATCCTATCCCATGCATTAAAATGAATGCCTGTACTCTGAACCTTCAGCACAGACTACTGCTAATGAATAGAAGAGTAACTGGATCAGCAGGACACAACACTGTGTCCACAGGGAAAGCCATTAAGTACTTCTGGACAAATCAAAGCAGATTTCTGCAGAAATCAAAGCAATTCAGCTTTGAATGTTTTTCCCTTCCTGTTAGAGTTACAAAACAAATGTTTTAATAACGTACCTTGAAGGATTCCAAGAAATACAGCTGCAGCTGAGCTTACATGAGATTTCATGCTGCAGTGACCACTGGCTGAGATTCATCACATCTGGAGCTTCATAAATCCTTACAACTCCATCTGCTGAACAGGTTGCTAACATAAGACCCATGTGCTTGGGAGCAAACTTCACATCTGTAACAGATGTCCTGCTGTCTACTAGAGTGGTCCTTTTGACCTGCAAAGAAATTTCCATCAAAAATTTATTCCCTAAAGAAGGCTAATCAAAGTCTGACAACACCACTTCATAGGGTTACTTACATCTTCCACCAAAAAAATTCCCTCCCCCGCCCCCAACTTTTCTATTATTTGAAAGATGAGCGAGAACACCCAGTGTTGTTTCAAATGATCTCTTGTCAATGAAAAACCCAACTTTAACTTGACTGCAGGTGGGAATTCATGTCTGGTTGCAAGTTGTTTGCCAGGGAACATCTTATTAGGAAACAGAGATAATAGGACACTACTTGGCCTGAATTGTAGCTAATTAGCTGTTTTCCTCAGCTGTTTTAAAAATACTTTGTGTTGGAATGTTGCCACAACTGAACAAAACATAACCAATATCAGAAACTTCATAGCTACTGAAAAGATGCCTCACCCAGTGACTCTGGCCTCGGAGTTTATCATTTGACTCTCCCACTATTTCTTCCCATACAGCCGCTGTTCTATCAAAGGAGCAGGAAGCCAGGACCTGCCCAAATTCAGGATGGGCCCATGTCACACGCCACACTGATCCACTATGTGTCTGCAAGATAACATCAGAACACTGTAGAGAAGCAAACTTACTGTGTTAGGCCAAGGAACCATACATTTTCGTGACTTTCTGAAGAGAATTCTGCGAAGTAGCAACACTGTTCCTTTGAAACCTACGTTCTTTTATACAAAGTTACGTAGCAGCTGTTGCAGTTCTTTATTTCAATCAGCACTGCAAAGTTGCTGCTCTTAGTGTTTAAAATTCAAGTATTAGAAGTGTATTTCAAGGCATTATTTATTACTAATTTAAGCTCCAAACCATGATTCTGCCTTGATGCAAAAAGTACAGTTTTGTTCTCAATCAAATTTCAGCCATTACCATGTTCACTTCTAGCTTGCCTGTACTTTTTAAAAGCATTTACAGAGCATTAATAATCCTCTTTTTAACATGAAGCTCCTCTTTCATACCTAGTTCACATTCCTGCCTTAGAGAAGGGGAATTCAAAAGCCTCCCTTGCACTGCCATTTACAGGGATTAATGTGTTGTGGTCCTACTAAGTGTAAGTTTAAGAACAATTCAGAATGCACTAATCCAGATGAAGCATGCTGTATTATCCATGTATAATTATGCAGATGGAGCATGCTGCATGATAAATATATATTCCATTTTCTTAGTAAGTTACAATGACTTTATTGTTAATATGTTAATGCATGGAGATCATTATGACACAGTTCTCAGAAAGGTTTTGAAGAAAAAAAAGCAGAGGTCAGATGTTGTAACATTTAAGAAAAATACATCTTCCTTTTAATTTTCTCCCTTTTATTTTTTTAAGTCTTAATATATGCAAAAGTAAATATTCAATTAAAAATTAAGGTACTCTTTTCTACTCCCTGAACACCTGTCACTGATAATGTTTACTGATACTAGTCTTCCAACATAACTAGCTAACAAGAGCACTGTGAGAATCAATAGAGATGTTTTATAGAAACAAAAAAGTATTTTACACAAGACATAGAGAATCTACAGCAAACCAAAAGCATTTCTACACTACAATTCAGTAGAAATTAAGCACGTTTCTCTAAAAACAAAGAAGAAATGAACAAAGAAGTCAAGTCTGTGTAATTTTTACAAATACAAACCTTCCAGCTGGCAGTGCAATGAAGTCTGTGTAATTTTTACAAATACAAACCTTCCAGCTGGCAGTGCAATGCCAATCTCCATTTTCACTTTTATCCCAGACCTATTGAGAAATCAAAATACAATCATAAATATATATACATATATAACACAAAAGTATACCCACACACCCCCACTAAACATTTTCATCCAGGATGATTCACCTGATTCAGTACAAAATTGCACTTCACTCAACCATGAAAATATCCCTATTACAAGTAAGGAGATGAGGCACCACCTGCAAAACCCACTATTGTGTGACTTCTATCTCTTTTTAAACAGTAAATTACATAGAAGAGAAATTATTACAATTCCCAATACTTCATTCACTTTGCTCCAAGAGTACACTGTTCTGTTTCATTCTAGAGCCCCCAGTATCCTCACCTGCTCAGCTCTGGTTTTGCAACTAATGCAGCTCCCAGCACTCATCCCAAAAGCAAAGCAGGGCAGCAAAATATACATCAGGTTAGTGGGGGAACAGATCTTGTTTCTTTTTATGAGATTTCTGCCTTGATTTTTAAACACATGCAAGTCACTGAACCTTCCCCTCTCTTGATTTCCCATACATCTTTATACTTATGAGTTTTTTACTGAAAAATTATGCAGAAAGTCATGAACATAACCAAATGAAAGACACCACCTGACACCCACTCCTATTTGTCACTCATTCACTTTAAAGCTGTACTGAAAGTCACCTCATAACTGCCACTATGGATCTCTAACACAGCCTGGGTCATGTTGTCCCTCTGGTTGGAGGAAAACTTCTGAACATTCTCATAAAGGGCTCAGTTATGATTAGAAAGTAACATTACACTGCTGAAGAACATAGTTTCTGTGTTCAACCTACCTCCTGGCATCTTTTTTAGGATCTGCACACTCTAGGAAGTCAGTCCAAACCAAAGATCCCCATGGCTTTGGCTTACTTTCTGGGGGGATCATTTTATTGTGGTTGGTTATTTGCTTTTGAGTCTGTGGTAAGGGAGAAGGGGCTGCTTTCTTGTTCTTAAGCCTAATCTACATATGACACAGCTTTCTGCGAAAAAAAGCTATTTTCTCACCCATTTATCTGGACTTAATAACAAACATGACTGCTCTCTGCAAATTAGATTTCTTAAATCTATCCACATGACTCCCAAATATTTGCCCATCCTCTCACTATGCACGAAAAAGGGAAAAAAGCAACCAACTTTTCGTTTAAGTAGATATAAAATGCTACTTTATTTCCTCTAAAGGAATGTAAAAATTAAGGCTTCTAGTATTCTGCCAAGGGCATACACGGAACACTCCGACTTTTTGCTTACTGGCACTTCACCTTCTTCTCGTAATAAATACAGATTATTGGCACGATACTACGAAACAGTAGTTTCCCTCGTGAATATTCTTTAATAAGTACAGATTTCCAGTTAAATAAACAAAACAAGCGGCACGGCTGCAGGCACAGCAGTCTGGAATGTTTTCCCTGCCGCAGCAACGAGTCGGAAGCGGAGTTCCCGTGTTTACACGCGTTAGCGCACACACAAACACAACGTGCGTTGTGTGCGAAAGCCTCCCGCCCCTACAGCCCGACACCGCACCGGGACCTCCCGCGGACCGAGCCCTCGGCTGCGCCCCGGCCCGCAGCCCGGTAGGCCGCGCACGCCCGGTGCCGCGACACTCGCCCAGCACCAGGCCCGGCGGCTCCCCGCTCACCTTGACGCTCTGGTCGCTGGAGCAGGTGGCCATGCGGCGCCCGTGGAAGTCGAAGGAC